CTGCTCTAACTTCTACCTGTGACTTTTTCACAGTGGGTTATTGGTCCTTCCAACTTTGTGGAGTACACCATCCAAGAGACCGCTTGTCTCAAAAGCCAGCCGGTGTCCATCATCGCTAAGTGTCCTCTGCTCCCACCCAATACTGCAGTGAGTATTCAGACATCTTGTACAAAGTCTGTCAGAACATTGCTTTTCCAGATCTAACAACTGAATAATTTGGGAGAAGCCACCTCTAATCCTATAGGTTGCATGAGTTAAGTAATCGGCTTATGCCATGCTAAAGCGTATTAATTTGAAATAACTTCTTGTGTGAGTAAGGAACCAGTTTCTGTTAGCCTGGGATGTAACATATTGTATGAGTACGACCATTCTATATGAAGGGTAACTGTTAGGTAGATATGAATATAGCTGGAATTAATCTATTTGAAAAGAAATGGAAGAAACAGAAATAATTCCACAAAGAATAAGTAGAAGTTGTTAAATCTAAAATTAGATTGTGTAGAGATGGACAATGATAAGGTTAGAACCCCTTGCAAAGGAATTTTCATATCATCCCTTCAAGGATCTAGAAAAGGGTGTCAAACTCACCTTATCATGGTGGTGTCACATGACGTATTGGGACTTTTTCCCCCTTCGCTAAACCGGGCATGGGTGTGGCCAGCACATGACACCATCCAGCTCGCAGGCTGGGAGTTTGACAGCCCTGGTCTAGAACAACTTGCTGTGGCCAACTCACCATGGCCATCTTGCTGCCATCAACTCACCACAGGACAACTCGCTGCAAGAACAACTCACCGCAGACAATTCCACATGGGATAACTCAACATGATACTGGTTATCTGCCATTGTTTCTTTGACATTATTTCCATTGACAGTTATCGTGTTATCCCGCATGGAATTATCTGCCGTGAGTTGTCCCATTGCAAGTTGAACGTGGTGTGTTATCACATGGCAATTGGCCACAGTGAGATGCCCGTAGCAAGATGGCCAGAGTATGCAGACTGCAGTGAAACGGCCGTGGCGAGATGGCCACAATGAGTTGGTCATAGCGGATTGTCCCATTCCATCTCTAGAAACCTGGCTGTCCAACCATTGCATGATAATCTCTAGAGATGCAATACATGTCACTCAAGGAAGCAGGCTGTTCCACCTATACAGTATCATTTGGTATCCTTTAAGCCAACTTATAAATCATAAAGTTAATTATAATTTGCCAGGGCAATTCTTCAAGAACTAAAATTCTATATCAATAAGAATACAATAATTCAAATAACGGTTTCATTTCTGTGACACCTGAAAATATTTACATCTTCCAGAAAACTATCCAGCCACTCCTAGAACAGTTGGATCAGACCACTTTGAAAGGAAGCAGAATACTTTGGCATTCCCAAAATATTGTGCTATGTTCACAAGTAGAGAGGAACTGATTAATAGCCTCACAGAACAGGAAATGTACATCGGCAGTACAAGAGTAGTAACAAAATGTACCTTCACTTCAAATTAAGAATCAGTTTTATTCCACAGTGAAAAACCCTATGCTAGGCATGTAGCTCAGTTTCTATAGGCACAAGAAATGAGAAAAAGAAAGAATTTCTGTTTCTAACAAGCATAGCAACACAAATTGAGAGTTGCCATGCCGGGTTCATCTACTCTAACTGGAGCACAGAAACAGTTACTGTATTTTTCGCACTATAAGATGCACTTTCCGCCCCCCCAAAAAGTGTGTGGAAATGTCAGTGCGTCTTATAGAGTTAATAATGTTGCTGAAGCACCACCCACCCGCCAGACCCCACCCTTCGGTCTCTGCCTCCCAGTAATTTGCCACCTTGAAGCGAACAGCAAACAGCCTGGTCAGTTTCAGCACAGCCTGATTTAGCACAAGCAACTGATTGGTGGTTGGATCGGTCTCCTGGAATACCATCAATCAGCTGTTACAGGCTGCAGAGATCACCAATCGCTGCCGCCACCTAGTGCCACCTCTGCGCACCCCATGTTTGGCCTTTGCCCATCCCATTTTCGGCCCGTTCCGGGCACCACTGTGCTGAAACTGACCAGGCTGTTTGCTGCAAGGAGACAAATTGCTGAGAGGCAGAGGCAGAATTTTTTTTCCCTCATTTTCCTCCCCAAAAGCTAGGTGCGTCTTATGGTCTGGAGCATCTTGTACAGAGGTGGGTATTCAGCAGGTTCTGACCAGTTCTGGAGAACCGGTAGCAGAAATTTTGAGTAGTTCAGAGAACCGGCAAATACCACCTCTGAATGGAGATTTTACAGTATCCTTCCCCTGCCACGCCCACCAAATCACGCCCACAGAACCGGTAGTAAAAACAATTGAATCCCACCACTGGTCTTATAGCGCAAAAAATACTGTATTTTGAGGAGGAGAAACGGCATGCCAACCATAGACAGTAACGGATACAGAACATTTGAAGAACAATATGTATTGCTGTCCTAGTGCATATTCAAAACATCTGAACAACTTAAACCTTTTGAGTTTGTTCCAGTGGTGAGTTTCAAATTGTTTTACTACTAGTTCTGTGGGCATGGCCTGGTGGGTGTGGCTGGGGAAGGATACTGTAAAATCTCCAGTCAGAGGTGGGATTTGCCGGTTCTCCGAACTACTCAAACTTTCCGCTACCGGTTCTCCAGAACTGGTCAGAACCTGCTGAATACAACCTCTGGTTTGTTCATTTTTTGATGAAAAATTTCTCTTTTGCTCTAGGAGGCAGGCCTATGCAAAGGCTCTGTGGTAAACAGTCGGATTGAAAATCGGAAATTTGTCACTGTAAAATGCCATTTCTTCCCACACCTGGTAAGTTCCTCAGACAGCAATCATCTGCAGAAAATATTCACTCTCCGTTTGTTAAACATGGTTTACTTTTTAAAATCACTGACTGAACTTTACCCCACACACCAATCGATTTCTCAGTTAAATAATAGCTTTAAAAAATCCCTAGTTAAGACCTCGCTGGATTAAGCAGGTAGAAGATTGGTTTAACAACGTTACTGTTAGTTGTTTTTATTGTAACGCTCTTGATTATATTTCAGTTTTGGATTCCTACCTAAAACCTCTGAAGTGAGGTGGTTTTATAACTCCTTAAATAAGATACAATAATAAAACAATGAAATGAAATAAACAAATATAAATAGAAGGAACTGAACAACATCCCCCCTCAAAAATATAAAATGCATAAATAAGTTCATAGGTAGTATTCAATTTTTTTTACTACCGATTCTGTGGGCGTGGCTTGATGGGTGTGGTGTGGCTGGGTGGGTGTGGCGTGGCTGGGTGGGCATGGCTTGGTGGGCGTGGCAGGAGAAGGATATTGTAAAATTCCCATTTCCACCCCACTCCAGGGGAAGGATATACTGCAAATTCCCCATTCCCTCCCCACCCCACTAACCTGCTTTCCAGCTCCATTCTCCTGTGCAGGGCAACAAAAGAAGACCCAGCCGATCAGCTAGCACTCCAATCAGCTGGGACTTGGGAGCAGGGGTGGGATTCAAATTTTTTAACAATTGGTTCTGTGGGCGTGACTTAGTTGGTGGGCGTGGCTTGGTGGTGGACATGGCTTGGTGGTCATGTTATTGGCTGGGCATGGCCAACTCAATATCACTCACATCGAGGCACGCATCTCCTTGGCTGGCCTCTCATGACTGTGGGGATGCTGCAACAGTCGTAAGAGTGAAAAATGGTCATATGTCACTTTTTCCAATGTCATTGTAATTTTGAATCATCACTCCACACAAGCAGAGTACCAGCAAAGAAGGGGAAAAAAACTCCAGAGAAGTTCCTGAGACAGGAAGTCTAGTCCTGCCAAGAATGTAATAAGAGTTAACAGAGAGGCAGTTTCTGTAAGCAACACCAGAATGTTTCCTTCCTGCCTTCCTTACAGGATTAGGCCAGGAATTTCTTCTAACAACTGGTTCTCCAAACTGCTTAGAATGTTAACAACCAGTTCTAGCGAATAGGTGCGAACTGGTAGAATCCCACCCCTGCTTGGGAGGCAGTGAATAGATGGGGATGGGGTCAACCAGAGGTGGTATTTACCAGTTCTCCAAACTACTCAAAATTTCCACTACCAGTTCTCCAGAACCTGTCAGAACTGGCTGAATACCACCTCTGAATTAAGGGTACCATGAGAGCATACAGTTGGAAAGATCTCACCTCAGCTGAATCCTGAGAAGTTATTAACACCAACTGTCTTGAATATTTCATAAAATAAGTAAGCACAATTTATGGGCCCAGATATAGACACCTCCCTAAGCCCCTTTCTATATCTTTTGTCTTATTAGCAACCAGTTACAGATGAACAGACTCCACAGTCTGGATCTGAACCTGGGCAGGAGGAACATCATGACGACGGTGAAAGACACAGAAATTACCACGAAAAGAACAGACACCATCATCAACACTCCCATCCCCACCACCACAAACATCATGGACATAAGCATGAAGACCAGGAGTCACACTATCCTCACCCCTCAGCTAACGTCACTAAGATACTACCAGACCAAAACGAAATATTGGGGCGGGTGGTCATTTATCCTCCTTCAAGCAAGCATATTTCACTACATTCCTTACCAGAAGTCCAGGAGCCCAAACCAACTTCTAAATCCGGGTTGACTTCTCAGTTTGAAGCCAATCCTCAGTCAGTACCGTCAACCAGGCCAGCAATTCCTCCCTTCCCCAGTGGGTTTTCGGAATCACCATCATGCCCGGGAGACCTTGCGATAGAGATCAATGGCCTTCAACTGCCTTCACCCTCATAGGCCAAGACTTCAGTAAAAACTGAATGGTGAAATCTAGTAGGAACTCATCAAATCTTCCTGTCAGCTTTGGAAGCCATATTAGCACCAGAAGCTTCCAAAGCTGCCACATTCTTGTGCTTGGGAAATTGGGAGGGGGGATTTCATGGAGCGTATGTAGTTAGACATAATAGCATTCTTCTTTACAGTCAAGGTCATGTTATTCCTGCACCTGAGTGCAGAGTGTCTACGGGATGTCTCAAGTTGGGACAGATGGTGATTGGGGCCTGTGATGGAATGATGGGTGCAAGGGATGGACTTGTATTTTTTAATTATTGAAGGAAAACCTGGAACTCTCAGATTCAGGTTTTCCCAGATGTGCCAGTTTGACTTTTCCAATAAAAAGAAACTTTGAGGAAATGCCTGTCTCAGAGTTTTTGATTGGAGTCTGGTTTTGCTGGAACGCTGATACTTCCCATGCAAGCAGAATCCTCTTGGTTTCCATTTTTGCTAGCTTCGTGTTTTGTAGCATACTAAAAAAAAGTTTTAATTAACTTGAAAATAACAAAGGAATTTTGATTTAATTGCATAGGCCTTGCCACTAACTAACCTCCCTCCCACTCCTTCCCTTATTTTATACTAGGTATTATTCCCAAATATTTATGTCTCATTCCCGGAGATTGTGAATTCTAGTTCTACCTAGAATTGAAAACCAACTGGGTGATTTTGAGTCAGTCATTCTCATTCTCTCCCTCTCCCTCCCTCTCTCCCTCTCCCTCCCTCCCTCTTCCTCTCTCTTTCTCTCTCTCTCTCTTTCTCTCTCTCTCTCTTCCCCCAAACCTCCTCACAAGATTGTTGTTGTGGGGAAAAATAGGAAGAGGAAAATGGATAGGTTCATCGCCTTGAGTTATTTGTAAAAAATAATAAAGGTGGGAAACAAATAAAAAGATTATTTTTCTTTTCCCTACTTTGTGTCTTGGCGATTTCAAACTCAATTGAATATATGAGCTACATTATATGAAATGGATCAATCGATGGGCAACATCTGTGCACATGCAAAAATGAAACAAATTTTAACAATGCATTGAAACTGAAATGTTTATCAAGGAAACTCAATGTAAATTATGTTTCTACAGCCAACGTCATTTCTCTTTCACTGGTGATCATGTAACACAGCAATAAACAGTTGCACATGATTACTCTAGATCTATACATGAAGAGAATTGCAGATTGTTGTTAGAATTCGCATGAATAAAATACTGTCTGGATTCCATTATTGTGGGAAGTGGTCGATTATTTAATCGTGCAATACTGAATAAGCAATTGGTTGCATGTACACAGCAGGATACAGGGAATTAGGGACGCGGTGGCTCAGTGATTAAGACACTGAGCTTGTAGATCAGAAAGGTCAGCAGTTCGGCGGTTCAAATCCCTAGCGCCGCATAACAGAGTGAGCTCCCATTACTTGTCCCAGCTTCTGCCAACCTAGCAGTTTGAAAGCCTGTAAAAATGCAAGTAGAAAAATAGGAACCCCTTTGGTGGGAAAGTAACAGCATTCTGTGTACCTTCAGCATTTAGTCATGCCAGCCACATGACCATGGAGACATCTTTGGACAGCGCTGGCTCTTCGGCTTTGTAACGAAGATGAGCACCACCCCCTAGAGCCAGAAATGACTAGCACGTATGTGCAAGGTGAACCTTTACCTTTACACAGCAGGCTACTTCATAAATCATGGTTCAAAAACCCAAGTAGTTAAAGACTAAGAAATATCATTATGGTGCAACCCATTGTACAGATTCTGCCTCAAATGCAGGGGTGTCAAACTCAAGGTCCATGGGCTGGATCCGGCCCGTGGGGTACTTAGATCTGGCCCATGAGGTCACCTTGGAAACAGCGAAGGATCGGCCCATGGTGCCTCTGCCAGCAAAAATGGACTTCAGGAGGGCCGTGTTCGGTCCTCCCAAGCTCCGTTTTCACTGGCAGAGGGTTGCAGGAAACTGTCTTGGGAGCCCATTTTCACTGGCAGAATGCTTGGGTCACCACAGGTGCCCATGACATGAGTGACATTGAGCTGGTCACACCCACCCCGGCCACACCCACCATGCCCCCCCCCCCGAAGTCCAGCACATCCCTGATGCGGCCCTCAATGAAATCGAGTTTGACACCCATCCTCTAATGTCCCACCATAAAGCCCAAAAGTGGGTCTTTAATTCTAAGAGAAGGTGGTGACTTTGTCAATGATTGGCAAGATAATTGGCAATTTTACATGGAAAAAAACAGATGCCTAAAGCAAGTTTATACTTTGGACTGTCTCGTGGTTTGTTCAAATAGCACAGAACTCTGTATACCAGTAGTCCTTGACTTACAACAGTTCACTTAGTGTTCAAAGTTACAACAGCACTGAAAAAAGCAACCTGGCTATTTTTCACACTTATGACCATTGTAGCATCCCCATGGTCACATGATTTACATTCAGATGCTTTTCAGCTGACTCACATTTATGATGATTGCAGGGTCGTGGGGTCATTTGATTTCCCCTTTAGGGCCTTCTGACAAGCAATAACTTGGTCCTCAACACCAATAAGACCAAGGAGCTTATAGTGGACTATAGAAGGAACAGACCAGACATCCAGCCCTTGCTTATCAATGGAGACCGAGTGGAGCAAGTGGCCAGCTTTAAGTTTCTGGGTGTTACCATAAAAGAGGACCTGACCCGGGGTGCTCACATTGCAGCCCTGGTCAAAAGGGCCCAGCAGAGATTATACTACCTGAGACTTCTCAGAAAACAACTGAATGAAAAACTGCTGGTGACCTTCTACCGCTGCACCATAGAGAGTGTTTTAACTTATTGCATGGTTTGCCAATTGCACCGTGGCAGATAGGACAGCACTCCAGAGGGTTAACGTCATTGCCCAGAAGATCATTGGTTGCCTTCTCCCCTCTTTGGAAGAGCTTTATAGCTCCTGCTGCCTTAAGAAAGTTCAAAACATTCTTAAAGATCCATCTTATCCTGGGAACCCCTTTTTTGAACTATTACCATCTGGCAGATGGTACCAAATAATAAAAACAAGGACAAATAGGCTGAAAAACAGCTTCTATCCTTGGGCAGTAGCTCTTTTGAATTCTGCTGTACGGTGCAGTGCGGTGTCGGGGGTTTCCGGTTCAATGTGTGAAGGGTGAAGGATGTGTGTTTGTGTTTATTTTCATGGTCATGATGTGCACTGAAGATGGTGTCTGATTTCATTGTACTAGGTGCAATGACAATAAACTAAACTAAACTAAAGTCAATGGGAAAACCAAATTCACTTAACAACCATGTCACTAATTCAACAACTGTAATGGTTCACTTAACAAACGTGACAAGAAAAGTCGTAAAATGGAGCAAAACTCACTTAACAAATTTCTCACTTAACAAAATCAATTTTGGGCTCAATTGTGGTTGCATGTTAAGACCTCCCTATATTAAGATCTTCAAATCAATGCAAACTACCTCTATCTTCCCGTAGGCCACTATCATTGCCCTATGCAGTGTCAGAATTTCACACTATTTTATCCATAGCTTCAGACATTAGTTGCTCAGTTTGAATCCCCTTTCCCCCTTATTTACTCTATCAATCATTCATTTTCTATTTATTTTGCGTAACCGGGGATCAAGGCAACCGGTTCAAGAACCTTGAGACCAGATCTACCCAAAAAATAAACATCCCTTTGAGATTATGGAACTGACTTTTCAGAGTCAGCTCAAAAGAGCTCCAATTTGGTGACTTAAGAGGATCAATCCATCGCATGGCCCAAATGAAATTGCTAGCCTGGGCTCTATTTATTGTAGCCTGGACCAGTTCCTGCCGTGCCCTGATAGTCCCCGAAGACTGTAAGAATAGAGAAGGATGCAGGGGTGGCCCAGAATTTAATCAATAAGCATCGCAAAGAAGGCTACATTTTTGCCCTGTTCCGTGTTTTAATGCAAACAGGTGGGTTGTTATTTGACTGCATCGTGTGATCATTTCGGAAGTACTTCTTTGTCTTACTTAGGAGTTGTTTGGGGTCTTTTCAAAATGGCACTTTTAACAAACTTTTTTTTTTTTAAAAAAATCTATTATTAATTGGTTGAGCTCATAAACTTAATTGGGCTTAATTTTGAAATGCGGTTAATTTTAAAGTACAAATATAAACATATGCTCTGTGAAGGTGAAGAATCTAAAATCTCTTCTTTTCCACCCATTTATGAGGTGGGGAGGAACAATACAGGTAGTCTTTGACTTACAACCGGTTGTTTAGTAACTGGTCAATGTCACAACAGACACCCCTCCTCCCAAAATCTACTGAAGATGGTGTTTGATTTTGCAATAAAGCAAAGTTTTTAAAAAAGTAAAAAGTACTTATAACCAGGTTTTTAAAGTTAAGGCCACTGCAGTTCCACTGCAGTTGTTTACCTTTACAACTGACCATAGGTACACTGTAGGGGCACCTGCTCCATCTCCGCCATCCATTCTTCTGAGTCCCTGCGTGCCTTTGCCTGCTCCCAATCCAGCCACTCAGACACCCAAGGGAAACTGAAGCCAGGCAGCAGAAGCTATCAGTCCAGGACTTGGCCTGTTCCTTCAGTTCATGGAGTCTGTGGGGCTTCCTTAAAAAGCCGGCTGCCTCTTACAGGATCGTGAAAAGAGTCCATACTTGCAGAAGAGCACCTGGTTGCCACGAGGAAGCCTCCGTTGGAAAGCTGAGCTTGGCATTGCATCGGCCTGAAGGAAGAGAAAATTGAGAGCAAGTTTGGTCACATTTTCAAGAGGATGTTGTCCCAGCCACTATGGTCACAGTTTCAAGAAGGTGCAATCCCAGAACAGAGGAACACAGTAGAAGTTAGCTCAAACTATCTAGTGTCAAGTTCTGCAAAATTGGGGATAGCCTCAAGAGCACCCCTTTTGCCCCAGCAAGGCTCATTAGCATCCTAAAAATACACACCTCAAACATTGTGGGATGTCATTAAACAAGTCTGCCTGCACATTTAGCAACTAACCAATTGCAACACTTTGCTTGTTTCCTGTGAAAAACAACAAAAAGCCATGTATGATGCTGTTGGGGGCTCCTCTTCCTTGCTTGGAGGCAACCCCTTCGCTGTTGCACATCAGTAAAGGGATTTTGCTCAAGGAGTTTCTCGTGTCCAGTGGGACTTAATTAGACATTGTCTCTGGACAAAGGACCATGGTCCAATTACCTATGTTGACAGGTCTGACAGGCCAGGCACCTGTCTGTAAAAACAGAAAGGTCAATTGGATGCTGCTGAGTCTTGGAGCTGGCTGTGGAGTGGGTTGAGTCCTGCAAGTCCCTCGTGGGGATGGAGTGGGAAGCAGGCCTCCACCTGCACATTCTAGCAGCCCTCCATGCACCAGGAGCTTCTGCTGTTTGGTTTTAGGCTCCCTTGGGTGTTTGAGTGGCTGGGTGATGAGCAGACTGAGGCCTGTGGAAACTCCAAGGGACAGGAATTGGAGTCCGGGGTGCCCCAGAGACTGGGGACAGGAGAATAGCAAAGACAAGCTTTGCTTAGTTTGATAAACTATCATCTAGTTCAGTTGTCCCCAACCCTTGTGGCTTGGCAGCCCAGTGGAGGGGGATTGTTAGGAATGATAGCCACGTAACAGTTGGGTTAGAAATATATAAACCAGGATAGCTAATTTAATACTGTATCTTTAAGAGAATGCTCTAAGTGTGATTGGCTGAGGTTCCTCCAATGGCCATAAGATGCAGCCAGAAACCTGGTTTGTTCCCTTCTTGCATTTCCTGTTTTGCCCTATTAGCCTGATCATCATTCTACTTGGATTGCTGTGAGTTTTTGCAACTGTTAGCAAACTCCATTTACGGAACTTTGTTTATGCTACTTGACTTCGTCTTTGGATTATCCCTGGACTGATACTAACTGCTTTAACTGTGTATGATTTGGACTGTTTGTTGGACTTTGTTTACCGGTTTACTGGAAGTAAAACCTACATTTTACTATTCAGTGTATCTGTATGCTGGTCGTGTGTTATTCAACATCACTCTCACTATGTTTCCCTGAGTGCACTCATTCTCCTAATGGGGAATACCTCAACAGGGATGAAAGAGGAATTGGCCACACAAGCAGCAGGCCAGTGTGCATATGCACACAACTTGACTTGTGCAAGCAGCAGGCCTTGCACAAGTTGAGCTGCACACAGGGATGGGATTCTCCCAATTCAGACCAGTTCGATGAGCCCCTTGTTCCACTGATCAGCTGGCTCCAAACCAGTTCACATGTGGGCCCGCCTGCCCGCCCGTGCTTTTTCTTATACTTTATTTCCTGGTTTTAGAGCACAGCTGATTCATGCGGCAGAGCAGTTTGCCTCACATCAGCTGTTTTCTTCACAGGAGCTGCAATAGAAGGAAAGTATAAGGCCTTTTTTAAACGGGGAGCATGCGCGCTCACCGAACCAGTTGTTACACCAGTTGAATCACACCCCAGCATGGGTGTGTTTACACCTTCTGGCCCACCACTCATGCAAGTTGAGGTGTGCACACCGGCCCTCTGCTTACATGGCCCAGTTGCAATTAGGCCATAGCCCCAGTAGTGGGCTGCAGCCCAGGGACGGGGAACCCCTGATCTAGCTATTCTACCCAGAAGCCATCTGAATACAATATTGCAAGTGTCGGAAAACCAACCCAGGAAAAAAGTCAGACATGCAGAAATCAATCCAAGTATAATTGGTTGTCCTTTTCTAAGGGTTAAAAAAAAATCCATCATCTAGAAACATTCCAAAGATTTAACCCCTGAAACAAGCTTCTCTACATGAACTGTGCAAGTCAAGAAAAAAACAATTAAAACCATTTGTTTATTTGATTTGGAATTGATGAAATCGGAACCAGTTACTGACTGGAGATATATTCAGAAATCATCCAAGCTGGCTTCTTATTCCTTTTTTAAAAAATTCCCACTGATTTGCTGATTCAATATGGAAATCTGATTCACTTTGGCAATTTGATCAGGTTGCTTCCTAAACGAATCATCCACCCTTGTTCTCTGCTGTTTGTTTTTGTTCATTTATTTCATAATTTGAAGTGGGATTGCAATAGCCTTTAATAATCCTGGTGTCATCTTCTTTGGTCCTTTTTAAGAAAGTTCTTGGGGAAATCAAGCATTTCAAGACACTAATTTATGCGCATGTTTGAGATAGGCAGAAACCGTGGTGGCACAGTGGTTAGAATGCAGTACTGCAAGCTAACTTAATGCTCACTCCAGGTGTTCAATTCTGAAAAGTTCAGGTTTGACTTAGCCTTCCATCCTTCTGAGGTCAGGAAAGTGCGGGCCAAGATTGTTGGGGACAAATATGCTGACTCTGTAAACTGCTTAGAGAGCGCTGTAAAGCACTATGAAGTGGTATATAAGTCTAAATGCTATTGCTATATGTTGCATCTGGAAATCAGCTATACTAATTTTTACTGCTGTGGTTTAAGATCCACATTATCACACTAGATCGTGAGCTACTTTTTGAAAATGAAAATTTATCTTTATTTTTTTTTAATGAATCTGCCTCTTCATTTAGTAAACATCTTCAGCAGAACGTGCCTGATTTTCTTCCATCTTGCTCTCCCCCCCGCCAATTTCAGAAAAACGCATCCATAGCATACCTAACTTTGGATGTCTTGGAAATGCAGTGTCCGGTAATATCCAGAAAACATTGGTCATCCTGTGAACACAGACCATTCTTAAGTATAATGGCATGTAATAGCTATCTCTGTTCTTTCTAAACATTAACTATTTGAAGTATCCTTTGGTGGAAAATCCTGCTTTTGTAACCACTGTGAGAATAATCATAAAACTCATCTAGAGATGGTGAACAATATGAAAGAGCTTTATTATTAAGCTTTTGCAAAAGGGAATTCTGCACATGTCTTCTGCACATGGCAGAAGACATTTTCCCCAGGAAGGCTGGGGCTTATATACAAGTTCAAATATACAGTGGGTGGGTCAACATCTATCCAACTACATAATTCCCTACGCCACACCCATAGTGTACCACTATTCTCTTTCTTTTCTCTTCCTTCCTTCCTTCTTTCCTATCTTTCTTCTTAAAAGTGTTATTCTTATAGCTCAGGGGTGCCAAATTCAAGGACTGCAGGCTGAAGCCAGCCCGTGAAGTGCATAGATTTGGCCCACAGGGGCACCCTGGAAACAGGGAAGGACCAACCCAAGGGACCTCTGCCAGCGAAAATGGATCTCCCAAGCTTCAATTTTGCTGGCAGAGGGTTGCAGGAGGCTGTCACAGCCGAAAATGGAGTTAACAGAACAAATAATTAGAGTTGGAAGGGACCTTGTAGGCCATCTGGTCCAACCCCCTACCCAAGAAGGAGACCCTACACCATTTCTGACAGATGGGAGTCCAATCTCTTCTTTAAAGCCTCCAGTGATGAAGCTTCTACAACTTCTGAGGGCAACTTCTGTTCCATTGGTTGATTGTTCTCACTGTCAGAAAGTTTCTTCTTATTTCCAGGTTAAATCACTCCTTGCTCAGTTTCCATCCATTATTCCTTGTCTAGCCTTTGGGTGCTTTAGAAAATAGATTGACCCCTTCCTCCTCTCTGTGGCAGCCCCTCAAATATTGGAAGACTGCTATCATGTCTCCCCTGGTCCTTCTCTTCCCTAGACTAGCCAGGCCCAGTTCCTGTAGCGGTTCTTCATACGTTTTAGCCTCCAGTCCCCTAATCATCCTGTTTGCTCTTCTCTGCACTTTTTCCAGAGTCTCAACATCTTTTTTATAATGTGTTGAACAAAACTGGATGCGGTACTCTAGGTGTGTGGTCTTACTAAGGCTTTATAGAGTAGTATTAGTACCACACTTGATCCTGATTGTATCCCTCTGTTAATGCAACTTAGGTTTGCATTAGCTTTTTTGGTTGCTGTTGCGCACTGCCGGCTCATATTTAGCTGGTTGTTGACTAAGACTCCAAGATCCCTCTCACAGTTACTGCTATTGAGCCTGGTCTCACCCAGTCTATATGGGTACTTTTAGTTTTTCTTGCCTAAGTGCAGGACTTTACTTTTCTCTACAACTGAATTTCATTTTGTTAGATATGGCCCAGTGTTCTAGTCTGTCAAGGTCCATTTGGATCTTGAGCCTATCTTCTTGGGTGTTATCTCGTAAACTAGTTTGGGAGCTTGTTTTTGCTGACAGAGCACTTGGGCTACCACAGGCACCCCTGACATGAGTGATGTTGAGCTGACCATACCCCCCTGGCCACGCCCCCTGCCCCACCCCCCCAAGTCAAACACAACCCTGATGTGGCCATCAATGAAATCAAGTTTGACACCCCTGTTATGCTATTTTTATGAATGGGACGCTTATCATGTTTAACCAATCTCTTAACTGTATTAAAGCCCTTTCATAGTGTCATTATTGTACTAGCTGTGTTGAGAAGGGGCCTCTTTAGTCCTCTTTCCTCATCCATTATCTTATACCTGGGATTATTCTGATTTAATTCTGAACAGACCCAAAGGAATAACCTGCTTTTTCTAACGCTTTCCTAGGTGAAAATTGTAATCAAAAAAATTACATCTCATCTCCCCTGCAGTCATCCTTAGATGCGAATGCCAAAGTGAACTATAATATTGGAAACGTTAGATATAATTTGATCACTATTTTGTTTTCTTTTATGCAGGTGGCCGATCGTACGGTATTCATTGTTGAATTCACCATAAAAGAGACAAGATGCCCTAGAAACATCGATGCAACAAGTGTTTCCCAATGTGAATTCCTGCCTGATGGAAAAGCTGTGAGTTGAGATATGTGCAAAAGTGGTTTGGCTAACAAACTGCAAGAAGAAAACAGGCAGTTGCGATATAGAGGTTTTCAAAATATATTATAGATCCTCAAATGTATCTCAGTAACAACAGAATAAAGACCAGTAGATTGGAGAGAAAAGCATTTAAACTTTGCTCAAACTATAGCTTCTAAAGGGGAGAATAGCAGATCTAGATACTAATTTAATAAGGAACCGCATAACTACTACAGTCCATTTTTACTGTTGTTCACCCACTAAAATTGTTGGAGTCAAGCCTTATAAATACGATGTATAAACAAAGGAAGGCTGGTAAGAGGGGAATTGTAATTCAGCAATTTGGGGAGAACTGCAATTTCCCCAATGTGGAACCATCTCTGTCTCCTCTTCAAAGATCTTTACAAAAAGGGGAAGAATTTACAATTTACCTCACTTAACAGCTATCTCGCTTAGCAATGGAAATTTTGGGCTCAACTGTGGCTGTAATTCAAGGACTATCTACATCTGTATTTGAAGAGTGGTGAAATACACCTCATAATCAGTGGCCCCGAGAAGATCATTCAGTTCAATCCCATATGGCAAACATAAGAGTAAACAGACAATGTTTCTGAAGTACTTTCATATAATGTATATTTTATATTTATGTGTATTATTAAATATTATGCTGCGAACTCTGTTCAGGCATCAGGAATGACATCCAGCCAGTAAACGTTCAGCTCCAGTCAATTGCTCCAACTCTACTCTGAATTAAGAGATTACAAGCTAGTAAAAAGGGACAGTTTTTAAATTCAGATAGTATTTTGATTTATATATTTTGCATTTTTCTTGCAATACGTATTACATACCTTCACAAATACGCAGCAAATAAGAGTCTTAAACTAACTTGGCTTCTTTTTTTTTTTCTCATTCTCATCTGTGTTCCATACATTCACAAATGGTGGCTTGTCCTTTGAACTTCCTTTGCAAAGAATCTCAGCATCTGCCATCACCATCACCACTTCCACCATGATTTGGGAAAAGGCCGTCATCACTGTAATGTAACTGGGAATGGATGTAGACATCCACTACATAAGCATCATCATTACTGCCATCACAATTATCATCTTCACCATCATCATCCTCACCTGTTGTAATGACGAGGCAATCGAGTTGTTTGATTATGAACAACTGAATCATGATGATCTTTATTGGAGTCTAGTCTTGCATTTATACACATTTTTAGTTATCCTCCATCACTGGTTAACTTTGGTTACTGTTTAGCACAGTAATCCATACAATTAATTATCTCTAGTTGAAGTCTAACATATGTTTACTTCCTCTCTCTAATCCTCCTTTAGATTAGTGACTTTGTTTACCTGAGTTGTATTTGCTTGGAAACATTCTTTATCTGAGGTTTGCCATCCGAGATTGGAACATTCCTGCAATTACAACTCTACACTCACCATCATCATCATCCTCACCACAATCATTCTCACCATCATGGACACCTCCATGAGTATAGAGATCCACAAATTCTTGGTCCTGGGGTCCCAGGGGAAACCATAAGTCTGAACAGACCCAAGAGGAACATCCTGGCATTCCCCCTCCCCCAGGACCTCAATACCCTCCTCTTCCTCCCGGGAGTCCCCATCATTTTCCTCCTAGTAAATATCCTCCACCACCTCCTGGGCCTCCACCTCCCCGACCTTTTCCCCATTGGCCAGATGAGTCACCACCGACGGCCTTATTGGAGGTTTCCTAAATTTGACCATGGCTGCCACCACCATCATCACAGGTGTAATGACACTGTGTGTAAAAGAGAAGAAAGCAGATCCTCAGAAGAGCACAATTCATTCAGCCACCATCTTTCTTTCCATCGTAGCAGTGCGGACTTTGTCCATCATGTTCCAATTGTGAGTGAACACGATGTCCTCCAAGCTCCTGATGCTAACTTTCTTGACCATCCTTTGCCTGACCAAGGAAGACATGGATCGAAGTCATGCCCAGGCAAGCCCAAGTATGACCCCTTCCCATCATCAACACGTTAAAAAGCTTTTCATGGAAATAATAATAATATCTGCATTTGTATGTGTTGGTTTGAATTTAAACTTGCCATAAATTGTAACCACGAGAGATAAATATCTTATATGGAGAGGATAGTTTATATATAGAATAGAATAATAGAGTTGGAAGGGACCTTGGAGGTCTTCTAGTCGAACCCCCTGCTTAGGCAGAAAATCCTATACAATTTTAGACAAATGGTTGTCCAACATCTTTTTAAAAACTTCCAGTGTTGGAACATTCACAACTTCTGGAGGGCAACTTGTTCCACTGATTAACGGTTCTAACTGTCAGGAAATTCCTCCTTAGTTCTAGATTGTTTCTCTCCTCGATTAGTTTCTATCCTTTGCATCTTGTCTTACCCTCAGGTGCTTTGGAGAATAGCTCGACTCCCTCTTCTTTGTGGCAACCCCTGAGATAGCAGAACAGTGCTATCATGTCACCCCTTTCACTTCTTTTCATCAGACTAGACATATCCAATTCCAGCAACCCTTCTTCATATGGTTTAGCCTCCAGTCCCCTAATCATCTTCGTTGTTCTTCTCTGCACTCTTTCTAGAGTCTCAACATCTTTTTTACTTATAATCTTAGAGTGATGGATGCATGATCTGGAAATCATTTGAAAAATATATTTCAGATGTTGCATAATTACATGTGCAATAACAACCTCTGCCATTCTTTAAAGCGGCCTGGGTTTTTTTCCCAGTCTTTCCATAAAAATCTGGAAGGTCCTAATGTTTTATTCTAAGGAATAGATTGCGTACACCACACACAGGGAGAGTGGATTTCGTAGAAAGAATCTTCTTATGGAATGTCTGATTCTAAATACCTATTTTATTTAGCCCAGTGGTGTTCCATTAGAACTATCAGATTTGGACAGAAAAAGTCCAAATGACTAGTATCTGGCAGCAAAAGAAATAAAGAAAAAAGGAAAGGAAAAAGGAATTTCCTGAATCTCTTTGCTGCCACCTAATGGTTATCTAGAGTTTTGTAAACCAATTTTTGTAGACCAAGTTTCTTCTATAGCCAGATTGAGTTGAAGTGAGAGGTGACACCCATTGCAAATTGCTGAAGTTGAAAAATATCCTACTTTTCCTCAGACCAAGCTTTTATCAACTGTAAACAATCCAGAGGTTTCAAACTGTGGGTAAATGACAAAGGCCAATGTTAACTCTGTATAAAAAGTATCAACAGAGATTGTATCTCCACAACGCATTTACTCAGTGGCATATGCATAAGATATTGAGTTAGTGTCAGCCTTGAGTAGCATACTGTGCAGGTACAACTTACTTGTTAGTTTATTGTTTAATGGGTAGCCTGAAAAATGTATTGTAAGGGTTTCCAAGCTGGCAAAAGGATTTTGAAATCAATAGCACAAGTCCTGATAGGAGCTATAGATGTGAAAGGTGAGTAGGTTGAGCTGGAAGGTGGGTTTAAACATGTCATCACAGCACAGCCACAGAAGACCTATGTCCAGCCCCCCACCCCATGAATTCCATTATCCTTATCTAGTGCCAATTTATTATTCCTTATCTATTGCCAATTTAGCTTTGACCATTAGTTGACTAGATTCTTGTGTGGAGGAAGTGATAATAAATTTTTCTGAGCTTTGAACTCAGTGAGCGTTCCTGGTTTTTTACGCCTGACAGTAAGCGAGCCAAAACAATCTGTACCTATGTGTCATTCAGAAAGAGGGACTGTGATACTTAAATGCAATCTATCTTGATCTTGTCTTTATGTTATTGATTTGAAACTAATAAAAACCACAAAGGGGTTATTTTAGCACAAACCATGACAGGTCCATGCAATCCACAGCCTCATGAGCCATTGCTCATAAAATTGCAAAACAATGATTTTTCAGGTAATTGCACATAGGCCTGAATACAAAATGGAATATAGAGTTGGCTTCAACTGCAAATTACAAATGATTATGCTTACCCTTGTAAAAATAAACAATCTAAAAATGCATCCATTTGCATCTTACTCGGCATTAAACTGTTTTTTCCTTACTGTAAATTTAACATCTAGTCAGAAGTAATGGCTCCCTTTATGACTTGTGGATTTCAACTCCCAGAATTCCTGGCTCAGAAATTCTGGGAGTTGAAGTCCACAAGTCATAAAAGGAGATATCCCTGATTTAGCTATATTTATTCCAAATATAGTAGCACATTGAGAACCATTTTCAATCCTTGGATCTACTGGACAAGTTTATTCTATGGGTGGGATTTTAAAATGTTTATCCTACAAAAGTGCTAAGCGAAGGATGTTCTGTGTGGCTCTGAAAACTGCTTTTCCCAGGCTGACCAAGGTAAATGTTGGGCAGGTTTCCAAGCAGACTCCTACTTCTGTTGATTCAGCATTTGCATCACATTTTTACTCCCTGAATCATGCTCATGCTTACTGTTGCGTTGTGGGAAAAGAGACTCGTGACCCAGTTGACTTTTCCCTTTTCATTTTCTTTCTAGTAATTGCATGCGGAGAAACCGTGGCAGCCTTTTTTATAGCCGGCTGCTCGCGGCTCGTGGCCAATGATGGCTCTTCAAATCTCCCGCCACCACGGACCAACCTATCATACGTAAGTATGCAGATATATAATACCCCTCCCCACGTGGTCCAGTCTAACCAATCCGGGCCTCACCTATCTTACGTAGTCACGTAAGTAGATGGCGCACTTATGGTTCCGACTGGACCTGCGCAATTCAGTTGTGAGTTCGCCTCTGGACTGTTTGCACGGGGTTGCTGTTTTTCCCGTTCTTTTCCGTGGAGCCTCCTGGAAGGTAGAGTCAGCCATGCTGCTCCCACCAGGCCTTTCCTGGCTGGTTGAGTTGGCTCGGCTGCTCCCACCAGGAGTGGCTTCCTGATGGTTCTTCGAAGTCTGCTCCAGCATCCCCAAGTTGTTTTCTTCTTCTATAGTTTCAGGTACATGTTTGCGATTTCCGATTGGGACTAATGTTAGTATTGATTGTTGTGTCGTTGTTAGGGTTTGTTTTGTCACTTCTTTTACTTGTGGAGGGTCTCCCCCTCCCCTTTTGTTTGTGTTTGAGGGGTCTCCCCCCTCTCTGGTTTGGCTATTTTTGTTTAATGTTTGCGGCAATTCCTTTATTTGTGTAGGTTCTCTCCCCTCCTCATCCTGATTGTTAGTGTTTCTCAGTGTGGTCCTCGATCTGATTTGGTCTATGTGTCTCCTCCAGCTCTTTCCATCCTCTGTGTCTACCCTGTATGACCGGGGTCCTGTTATTTGGGTTATTGTTGCCGGTATCCACAATGGTTCCCCTGTGAGGTTTTTTGCATAGACTAGGTCCCCTGTTTTGAATATGCAGCACTTACTGGAGGAGTCTGCTGGCTTTTCTGGGCTATATGTGGGGTGTAGCCTGTCTAGGTTTGATCTTAGTTTCCTTCCCATTAATAATTCTGCTGGGCTTTTATTTGTTGTGGTGTTTGGTGTAATGTGTTGTATACTTAGTAGTTTGTCTATTTTTTCCCTGTATATCCCCTGATCCCAATTTGTGTAGTGCTTCCTTAGTGTAATGGACCATGCGTTCCACCTGTCCGTTCGTAGCCGGATGTACCGGCGCTGTTAGTGCATGCCTTATTCCTTGTTCTGCCAGGAACCTTTCAAATGTTATTGCTGTGAATTGTGGTCTGTTGTTGGATGCAACTAAATCCGGCAATCCATGTGTCGTAAAAAGTTTCCTTAGTTGTCTAATAACAGCTTCTGTTGTGGTTGAGTGCATGATGCTTACCTCTAGCCAATTTAAGTAAGCGTCTACCACTATTAAGAACGTGTGTCCTTTAGTTGGTCCTGCGAAATCAATGTGTATTCTAGACCATGGTCCCCTAGGTGTTTCCCATTCGTGTATAGATGCAGAAGGTGGTGTAGGTCTAGATTCCTGGAATCGTTTGCAAGTTGCTACCCATTCTCCTATGTCTTTATCCATCCCTGGCCACCATACATAACTCCTAGCCAGGGACTTCATTCTGACAATACCCGGGTGACCCTCATGCAATAATTCAAGTATTCGTTTCCTTAATATGTTTGGTATGACCACCCTATCCTGCATAGTATACATCCCTTTAAGATTGATAGTTCCATTTGTCTATTCCAAAACGGTTTAACAGTCTCATCACTTGCAGTCTCTGGCCACCCTTTACCTACCCAATTTAAAATCCGCGCCAGGTTTCTGTCTCTCATGGTTTCCATAGCAATGTCTGTTGCTGTTATGGGTAGGTTTGCCAACATCTCGATTTGAAGGGTTGATGTGGTTGGTGCAGGATCATCGTCTAAATCAGGTAGGGGGGAAGGGCTCAAGGCATCAGCGTGTGTTATGTTCTTTCCTGGTCGGTAGATCAAGTTGTAGTTATAGGCAGCTAGGAATTCAGACCACCTCGTCATCCGCGGTGACACTATGTTAGGTGTAGCTTTGTTTCCTGTGAGGATTCCTAGGAGAGGTTTATGGCCTGTGACAAATGAAAAAGGTCTGCCATAAATATATTTGTGGAAACATTTTATTCCTGTTATTGTGGCCAATGCCTCCCTATCTAGTTGGCTGTAATTCTGCTCCAGTTTAGATAGAGTTTTTGAATAGAATGTGATAGGTGCTTCTCTTCCATCGGGTAATACATGGTTGAGTATGGCACCTATGCCGAATGGTGATGCATCGCATGTTAATGTTATTGGAAGGGTCTCGCTGTATTGTATTAGCACACAGTCTGATGTAAGTAAGTTTTTTATTTCCTGGAGTGCTGTTTCTTCTCGTTGCCCCCAGGTCCAGGTAGCTTTCTTATCAAGCAACCTGTGTAGTGGTTCCGCTATCATTGCTTTCTTGGTAAGAATACATTGTAAAAATTAATAAGTCCCAAGAAAGCTTGCAAGTCTATTTTATTTTTGGGTCTGGGAGCTTCCTTTATTGCTCTGATTTTGTTTTCAGTGGGGTGGATCCCTTCTTTGTCTATGAGGTATCCCAGGAATTTGACTTTGTCGGTGGCTAATTGGCACTTCTCTTTTTTTACTTTAAGTCCCGTCTCTTTAAATTTTTTAAAGACGTCTCTTAGGCGGTCTTTCAGTTGTTCTTTGCCCTTGGCTGATACTAATACATCATCAAAGTATGGTACCACCCCCCCTTATTCCTTGCAATAGGCATTCCATTAAACTCTGGAATACCCCTGGGGCCACACTAACTCCGAATTGCAGTCTGTTGCATTTGAATGCCCCACTGTGTGTCACAATTGTTTGTGCTTCCGCTGTTTCTGGGTCAACTGGTAATTGTTGGTAGGCTTGCGCAAGGTCCAATTTCGCAAAGATTTTACCTCCCCCTAAAGAATGTAATAGGTGCTGCATCACTGGAACTGGGTATGCGCTTTGCTTTAGCGCATGGTTAAGGGTTGCTTTGTAGTCCCCACAGATACGTATGGACCCATCTGGTTTAATAGGGGTAACAATTGGGATTTCCCACCTTTCGTGGTCTATTGGTTCTAATACCCCCTGTGCAATAAGTTTACTAATTGTTCATCAATTTTTGGTTTTAACGCGAAAGGAACTCTGTCGCAGCGAGCGACCGGTCCGTTGCTCCGTCTGCGTTCTTTCGCTGCCTATGGAGTTCCCCGCAGGGAAGAAGTTTAGAGGGACCCTCGCAAGGGTGAATACCAATAACAGACACCAGACATCCGATTGTTTTCATAGGAGGGAGCACTTCACACCCGAGGCAGATGGATTGACCCAGGCAGATGCAGCTGCAGCATGAGGAGGGGGAGGAGGAGAAGGAGGGGGACCTGGAGAAGGAGCTGAAAAGCCTCGGGTGCTCTGTACAAACCTCATTTATTAACCTCTTTCAAGCGGGTGGGGGAGCACACAGGGGGTAGCAGAGTTTTACCTTATATGGAAGAACTCATAAACAAAGAACAAAGAACAAGGCATATGATAGTTTGCAAGTTTTGCTTATCATCCTGGGATGGAAAGTAACAACAGTCA